ATCCAGTCATTAGAAGATAATTTGAGCACCAAAGTAAGTAATGTTATAATGGATTATAACCCATTGAACACAACTGAATCCATGATTCCATAATGATATAAATAAATACATGAATACATTAAAAACTTGATGAGGAATATATAGTTATGTAGTATCAAAGAATCTACCCACAAAGTATTTCTTTTTTTTTTTTTTTTTTGAGATGAAATCTTGCTCTTGTCGCCCAGGCTGGAGTGCAATGGTGCGATCTTGGCTCACTGTAACCTCCACCTCCCGGGTTCAAGCGATTCTCCTGCCTCAGCCTCCCATATTTCTTAATTACAAATGCAGGAAGAATGACATTATGGCGGAGGACACAACCAGATACCATAATCAAAAATCAAAGTAAACATCACCCATAATGGAACAGATTGAAATTATTTGTCACTAGATATGATGCAATGAGAAGTCAAAGCATCTTCTGTGATATTCCTGCCAAAGTTGCATAGCCAGAATCTGATTATGAAGAAACCTCAGATAATCCCAAATTGAGAGAAATTTTAAAAACTCCCAACCTATGCTTTTCAAAAGTGACAAGGTCAAGGAGGTTGAGGAAAGACTGAAGAACTGTGTCAGGCTGTGGTTGACTAAGGAGACGTGAAAACTAGTTGCAAAATGTGATTCAGGATTCTAAACTGGATTCCAAAATGAATATAATGAATATCATTGGGATTTATTGAGGAAACACTAATGGAAATGAGGATTAGATGGCCCTAATGCATCAATGTTAATTTCCTGAATTTGAAAGTTATATTTTGGTATATAGTCAAATTGCCTTGCTTGTAAGAACTGTATACTAAAATATTTCAGGTTTGGAACTTCAGGTCCAAAATTACTCTCAAATGTTCAAAATAGAGAAAATTATCTGTTTGTACCTCCAACTTTTTATTACATTTATAGTTATTAAAATTATATAAATATATATATGCATTTGTGTATATATATGTATAGATATGCATACATATAGATATGCATATACATAGATAAATGATACATATAAAACCAACAATAGACTCATATCTAATCTATGCAAGCCCTTCACAAAAGATTTGATATTGCCAAAGGACATTTGAAAAAGCACCCGGCATCATGAAGCTCCACTGAAATGAAAATTAAAACTACAATAAGATATTATTACACACACATCAGAATGCTTAAAATGAAAAAAGACAATATACTAAGGGTTGGCAAGAAAGAGAAGCAGTTGGCACTCTCAGTAAAATTGTAATTTATTAAACCATTTGGACAATTATTTGGCAGTCATTAATAAAAGTAACACATGCACATCCAACAATTATGCTCATAGTTGTATCAATAGAAATCCTTATATTGGGATAACAATGTATTAGAGTAATAACAGCACTATTCACAATAGCCACAAACTAGAATCAACTCAAAAGTCCATAACAATACAATGAAAAGATAAATTTTGGAATTGTTATAAAATAAAACACTCTAAAGTAACCCTAACTTACCTACTGCTATTTATGACAACATGAATGAATCCTACAAACACAAAATTAAGTGAAAATACTAGATACTTAAAAATACATAATATGATTCCATTTATATTAAGTTCACAAACAGGCAAAACTAACCTATGGCATAATACTGGAGATATCTAGCGGGGGAGGAAGGTAGGAGGAGACATAAAGGGACTTCTGGGGTCCTGGCAAAATTACTTTTCTTGATCTGTGTGTTGATTACACAGATATGTTTAATTCATGATAATTCATTTAGCTATATACATTTAGGATGTTTCCAACATTCTCTTTGTATATTACATTCCAGTGAAAAGGTTTATTTAAAAAGAAGCAGTTTGCATTCACCCAATTCCACCCAAGCTGAGGTTTGCATTACTCTGTCACTGTGGAGGGCTTCAGTCGGATGCCCTCCTGACAATCCATTTGGGCAATAATAGGAAATCTCTGCAATGTGACAATCACTGAACTGGGAATTAAAACCTGGATTAAAAAAAAAAAAAAAAAAGATTATGTGCTGATGCACTGCTGACAGTTCACCTCACTTACTCACCAATTCCTTATTTCTAATAATAAAGTAGGGATTAGGCTCGTGGATCTCTGAGACCCCTTCTGTCTCTAACTGTCTATGTTTCTTTCATTCTTTGACGGGACCAGGCAGAAGTCTCAACAGAAAGGAGGAATAGAAACTCATTTTTCAAGAAATAAAATGATTGTTTTAAAGAAAGCCATTGAGGTCATTTTATCTAAAACAAGGTAGTGCACTTCTTTTAGAGTTCAGAGCTATGTGAACCAAGCAGTAAAATAACTGTTTCTCTTTGTCTCAGATAAATTATTCACCACAACCTGGACTGACTCAAATTCCAAAGGTTACAAAACCACACCCTAATTGTAATCAACCTATGTTGCACATGTTGAGTTGGTTAATGTGTATTTGAAAGTCACTGATTATCCTGAGTAATGAAATATTGCCTCATAGTACATGGTAAGTAAATGTTGATGACTCTGGTTGAACTGAATTTCTTGCTTGGAGGGAATGATGTAAGAGTTAGGAGATAGGGTTCCAGTCTCGGCCCTATAATTTTCAGCCTCTGTGTCATTGAACAAAATACTGAATCTCCAAGGCCCAGCTTCCTTATCTCTAAAGTGGGAATAATTTTACCATAGGCAAGGGTAATTGAGAGAATCAAAAGAGTTATGATGGGTATAAAAATTGTCTGTGAATTGTCAGAATCCCTGTAAATATGTTTGATAAAATATTGTTGATATGGGATCTTGACAAAACTTAATTTTTCCTTATTGCAGTTAGAAATAACTGCATGAATCCAGTATTATTTCCAATAGCCAAGATATAGAAACAACCTAAGTGTTCATTCACAAATAAATGGATGAAGAAATTGTGGTGTTTATTTATATACACAATGGAATATCTTCTAAACTTTAAAAGGAGATACTGCCATTTGCAACAACAAGGAATGAACCTGGAGGATATTATGCTAAGTGATATGAGCTAGATACAGAGGAAAAAAGATTGCATGATTTCACTTATATGAAGAATCTTTACAAAGTCAAATACATAGAAACAGAGAGTAGAATGGTGGTTACCAAAAGTGGGAGGGGGAGAAAATGGAAAAAAGTGCTTTAAAGAGTCCAAATTTGCAGTTAGATAGGATGAATAAGTCTAAAGATCTAATAGACAGCAAGAAGACTATAGTTAATATACTATACTGAAAATTTGCTAAAAGAGTAGATTTTAGGTGCTTATACCACAAAAAAGAAGGTAATTATAGAATTGATGAATAATAACATTTAACTGTAGTAATCATTCCACTGTTTATGTCTACCAATGTTGTATACCTTAAATATGTACAATGGAAATAAATAACTGTACTAGTCATTTAGAATACCACAATGATATCTTTACAGAATATGCCTTTGTACAAGCATTGCCATTAATGATCCAGAAATGTGTGTATCATTTTAGTGATACATAGAGCCTCATGACCACTAAATGTCATCTTCTGTTCAGGTCTGCACAACTGTGTTTGTTCTGTGCTGTAGGTCTGTTGAATGATTTCCCTACCTCCCATTCACCACTGAAGCACATGCCTGTTGTTCTGCCTATAGTTCCCCTTCCTTGCTGTGGAATATTTCATTCCGTTATTTCTGACATAGACCAAAAAAGCAATAGAAACAGTTGTGTCTGGAGGTGAGTGGGAGGTGGAGAAGCCATAGTTTCTGAGCTCTTACCCACTTAATTCTCTGAGATTGACTCTTTCCTCAGTTACACTGAGTAAGTTTCAGCTCTTCAGTGACAGAGAGGGGAGAAACCCTAGCTTTCATTTCTTCTCTTGAGAATGTACAGCCTTGTTATTTTGTGAACAGTGTGGTGTAGATTCAGACTGATGAATGTTTTTAGGATTTATTTTATTTTGCTAAAACTGGTCACAAGGCAGCTCAGGTGTAAGTGATAATATACTGCAGCGGGCATCAGAAGATCTCAGTTCAAATCCCAGCCTGCCATTTATGAGCTGTGGGACACTGAATAGGTCATCTCTTCTCCTAGAGTCTCCCTTTCCCCATTTGAAAAATCTGAAATAATATTCTCAGCTGTCCAGTGTTTTTCAGGGGGGTTAATGGAAAAAGGTGTGTATGTTTACTTAATTGATAACCGGTTTAGCCATTTAAGATGAATGAGTTTGTTAGCTGTGCTATGTTTAGGCAGCTGTAATGTTAGTACTACACTAAAATATTTCAAAAGGATCTCGTTTTCAAGGAAAATGATCCCAGTGCTTGAGAAAGCATTATAGTGTTGCAGTCTTCCTGATCCTTAGCTCAGCTAAGTCCGAGTTGCTATCTCATGCAGGAAGAATTAGCACACAGACACCAGAGAGTGAGTAGAGTAGAATTTATTAAGTGAAAGAAAAACTCTCAGCAAAGAGAGAGGCCCTGAAAGCAGGTTGCGGATTGCCAATTCACAGTTGAATACCAGGATTTTTATAGAAAAGCTGATGAGGCTGGGATCCTTATTTGCATAAGGCGTGAATTCCTGGTGTTTCCACCCCTTCCTTCCATTGCGCATGTGGACTCAGTGTAAGCCACTCCATATTGATTTAATTCCCTTACTGCACATGTGTTAAAGGTAGGAATTTTTCACTGCGGGCATATTTAGGCAAGCTCCCTGTGCAAGTTCCCTTATCTGCACAAAACACCTAGTGTAAGTACTTGGGGTTTTTGTGGATTGGGCTATGACCTGGAAGGGTTTGAGGTTCTCTGGGGACCCTTCCCTTACTGCCTACCTAAAGCAAGCTGGCTACTTCCTCTCAATAGGATAAATATTATTTTATATACAAGGGATATAATACACAGATTCCCCTCAAGGTCATATTTCCAACTGTTCATCAATCTAAGAATCCAAAATTTTGAACACTTTTTTGATGAAATAATTTATTTCATTTGTTCTCAATTTTGGCTGCACAGTGGAACCACCTGGGGTTTTGAAAAAAACCTAGGCCTGGCCGGGCACGGTGGCTCATGCCTGTAATCCCAGCACTTTGGGAGGCCAAGGCGGGCGGATCACCAGAGGTCAGGAGTTCGAGACTAACCTGGCCAACATGGTGAAACCCTGTCTCTGCTAAAAATACAAAATCAACCAGGCGTGGTGGTGCATGCCTGTAATTCCAGCTACGCTGGAAGCTGAGGCAGAATCGCTCGAACCCAGGAGGTGGAGGCTGCAGTGAGCTGAGATCTTGCCCTTGCACTCCAGCCTGGGCAACGAGAGCGAAACTCCAGCTCAAGAAAAAAAGAGAAACAAAATAAAACAAAACAAAAAAAACCTGGGCTCTGCTTCAGACTAGTTAAACCAGAATCTCCAGGGTGGGGCATTGGAAATGAGAACAAGAAAAAAGAACACCTTATTTTTATCTTTTTCAGTGAGCCAATGTTCATTCAGAAGAGAGATTAAAGTGCTTTTTGCTGACTAGTCACAGTCAGAGTTAGAATCACAGGTGGATTAACAGGGAGTGTTATAAAAACCTTGATGTGAAAGCCTACAGTTTTCTTACTAAGAAGAGAAGCCTTCAATGGATCCAGCTGTGGCTCTGGTGCTCTGTCTCTCCTGTTTGTTTCTCCTTTCACTCTGGAGACAGAGCTCTGGAAGAGGGAGGCTCCCGTCTGGCCCCACTCCTCTCCCAATTATTGGAAATATCCTGCAGTTAGATGTTAAGGACATGAGCAAATCCTTAACCAATGTAAGTATGCTTTATGCTCCTCTAGTAATGTACAAGGTGTATTTAACCTCACGATTCCTAAAGTTTTATTTCATTTTAAAGTGATAAATGGTAATTGAATATATTAATGGGGTGCAATATTACATTTTGACACATGTATACATTGTGAATTGATCATCAGGGTAATTAGCATATCTGTCGTCTCAAATATTTGTCATTTCTTTGTAATGAGAACATTTAGAATCCTCTTTTTTAGCTGTTTTGAAATATACAGTACATTAACATTAATTATAGTCACCTTGCTGTCCAGTAGAACACCCGAGCTTATTCCTCCTATCTAACTGTAACTCTGTACCTGTTGACCAAAGTATTCCCTTATTTGGCCCATTTCCACCTGCCAGCCTCTGGTAGCCACCATTCTAATCTCTACTTCTATGAATTCAACTTTTTAAGATTCCACATAGAAGTGAGATCATATATGATATTTGTCTCTATGTGCCTGGCTTATTTTATTAATATGATGTTCTCTAGATTCATCCATGCTGTCATAAATAAGAATATTTTTTCCTTTTTAAAAGGCTGAATAACATTTCATTGTACATATATGCCACATACAAAATCGATTAATTTATTGATGAACACTTAGGTTGTTTCCATATCTTGGCTATTATCAATAGCACTGCAATAAACATGGAAGTACAGACATCTCTTCCACATACTGACTTCAATTCCTTTGGGTATATACTGATCGTGGGATTGCTGGATCATCTGATAGTTCTATTTTTAGTTTTTTGAGGAATATCCATACTGTTTTCTCAAATCACTATGCTAATTTACATACCCAAGGTTCACGTTATTCCACATCTTTTTCAACACTTGTTATCTTTTTATCTTTTTAATAATAATAATATCTACAAGTTGTGATGAGATATCTCATTGTGGTTTTAATTTGCATTTCTCTGATGATTAAATTTGTTGAGTATTTAAAAAATATATCTCTTCGCCATTTATATATCTTCTTTTGAAAAATGTCTACTGAAATCCTTTGCCCATTTAATTAATTAATTAATTAATTGATAGAGACAGGGTTTTTCTCTGTTGTAGGCTGCAGTGTAGTGATGGGATCACAGTTTGCTGCAGCCTTGAGCTCTTGGGCTCAAGCCATCCTTCCACCTTAGTCCCCCAAGTAGCAGGGACTACAGGTGTATGCCACCATGCCTGCATAATTTTTTAATATTTTGTAGGGATGTGGTCTCTCTGTTGTCCAGGCTGGTCTTGAACTCTTGGGCTCAAGCAATCCACCCACCTTGGTCTCTCAAAGTGCTGGAATTATAGGCATGAGCCATTGCACTTGACCCTTTTGCTCATTTTAAATAGAATTATTTGTTATTGAGTAATTTGAGTGTCTATATATTTTGAATATTAGTCCCTTATCTTATGTCTGAGTTGCAAATATTTTCTCCCAATCTGTGGATTGTCTCTTGACTCTATGACTTGTTTCCTTTGCTGTGCAGAAGTTTAGGTGGTCAGAATCTCATTTATCTAGTTTTGCTTTTGTGGCTTGTGCTTTTAGAATCATATCCAAGAAATCATTGCCTAGACCAATGTCATGGAGTTTTTCTCTATGGTTTCTTTTACTAGTTTTTAGTTTCAGGTCTTCTGCTTAAGACTTTAATTCATTTTGAGTTAATTACTATATAAGGGGTGAGATTAGGATTCTGTTTTATTCTTTGCATAAGAATATCCAGTTTTCTCAACACCTTTTGCTGAAGAGTGCTTTCCCCATTGTATGTTCTTGGCACTTTTGTCAAAAATCAATTGATTATAGATGTGTGGGTTTATTTCAGGGTTCTCTATGTTTTCCTTTAATCAATGTGCCTGTTTTTATGCTAATGCTATGCTGTTTTGCTTACTATAGCTTTGTCACATATTTTGCAGTTCAATAGTGTGATGCCTCCAGCTTTATTCTTTTGGTTAATTTGCTTTAGTTATTTGGGATATTTTGTGGTTCCATACAAATTTTAAGATTGTTTTTTCTATTTCTGTGAAGAATGAGATCGAAATTTTTATAGGGATTGCATTGGATCTGTATATTGCTTTGGGTAGTATGGACATTTTACCACTATTAGTTTTTCCAATCCATGAACATGGGATAGCTTTGCCTTTATTTGTGTCACCTTCAATTTCTTTCATCAATGATTTGTAGTTTTCAGTATGTAGATCTTTCTCTTCTTTGGTTACATTTATTCCTAAGTATTTTATTTTTTGATGCTACTATAAATGAATTGTTCTCTTAATTTCTTTTTTAGATATTTTGTTGCTAGTGCATAGAAATGCCACTGATTTCTGCATGTTGATTTTATATCCTTCAAGTTTACTGAATTTGTTTATCAGTTCTAGTACTTTTGTTCTGAAGTCTTTAGGATTTTCTACATATAAGATTACATCATCAGGAAACAGACAATTTCACTTCATCCTTTCCTATATGAATATTCCTATATTAATATTTTCTATTTTTAGTCTAATTGCTCTGACTAGGACTTTCAGTACTCCATTGAAGAGAAATGGTCAGAGGGGGCATTCTTCTCTAATTTCTGATCTTGCAGGAAAAGCTTTTAACTTTTCACCATTAAATATGATGTTAGCTGTGGGCTTGTCCCATATAACCATTAAGGTCACATAGAAACTTCTGTATTACCAGAGGCCAGTTATTAAAGGTTATATGTTATAGGAACATTCCTCAACATTCCTCCTGTACTACCAGAGGCCAATTATTAAAGTATGTTATTGTAAAGCAAATACTTCCTGTGGAGTATGTTTTTCTTTTGTGTCATTGTCAGAAATAGTGGAATAAAATAATGCATTTTGCCAGAAGAGAAACATTTTAAGTTGTAAGGTAGAATCAAAATGATAAAGGCCTGCTGCTTTTCTTTTTTTCACAGTCATTTGCTATAATTTTTTTGCCTGAAAGAAAATGGTAATGGAAGTGTTTTGTGATTAAAGGTTTTGAGAAGTCAGTAACTGTATATGCTATGTATTTTGCTTACATTAGCCATGATCATTAAACTTCTTAAAAAAGCAAGTCATGCCTGATGTCGAAGAAATATCTATGAGTTCATCATAAACATAAATGAATGAAAGAAATAATTAGTCAGAGCCATCTGGGTGGTAACAGAATATTTATGGCCTCTGTACAAAGCTGCTGTCTGTGACCTATGAGTGTACAGCATGGAAAACATTGTTCCTCTGTGAGGTGCCACGCATCCTGATACTATCTCTGTAGGGTCCACTCTCTTTCTGTGGTGATTATACTAGTGGATCTCAAAGTGGACCGGGCAGTAGAATCATCTGGGTGATTTAAAAAGGTGTAGATTTTTTAGTATTGATGACAGGACTCCTGCATCAGGATCCCTATGGGATGAGCTTTGCAGGGGATCCTGAAGCAGTGTCCCAGTGGCTGAATATTGGTCAAAATATGGACATTGGGAACTGATAAATTGCTCAGGCATCACAGGTTGACTAAGCAGGCTTCAAATTTGGACCTTCTGTTTATCAGTTGTGGGATACTGACAATGAATTTGAAATTCTTTAAAATTCAATTTGTCTTATCTGTAAAATAAAGTAAACAAATCTAGCTCGAGGTATTGATGTGATGACTAAGTTTAATAACCTGCATACTAATTTCCTAGGCCACTGCCTGGCACATTGAAGGCACTGTATACGTGCAGCTAAAACAATAATCATCATCTTTATGTAAAATCTACAAATATTTGAAGCTGTATTTGACAAAATAATCATATCAACATTATGATGCTAGTATCAGTCTGAATCACGGACAATATATAGACCAAATACTGAGTTTTGCTACTATTTGAACCTCCTTTTCTATGTTCAGTTCTCGAAAGTCTATGGCCCTGTGTTCACTGTGTATTTTGGCCTGAAACCCATTGTGGTGTTGCATGGATATGAAGCAGTGAAGGAGGCCCTGATTGATCATGGAGAGAAGTTTTCTGGAAGAGGAAGTTTTCCAGTGGCTGAAAAAGTTAATAAAGGACTCGGTAAATGTGCATGTATCGTGTGAATGTGTACATGTGTATGTACTGGGCAGTGGTTATAGGGATGGGGAGGATGGAAAACAGAGGCTTGAAGAGCTCCTGAGACAGAACTTGACCCATCCACGTGGCTGCCGAGTGTCAGCTCTGTTCTCCTTGTTTGGAATCTCCCTCCTAGTTTCTGTTTTCTGTTCTGTTAGGAATCCTTTTCAGCAATGGGAAAAGATGGAAGGAGATCCGGCGTTTCTCCCTCATGACTCTGCGGAATTTTGGGTTGGGGAAAAGGAGCATTGAGGACCGTGTTCAAGAGGAAGCCCTTTGCCTTGTGGAGGAGTTGAGAAAAACCAATGGTGCGTGACTGACTTTTTTTTTTTTCCTGAAAAATGTTTTCTAAAATTTATTTTAATTTATTTTTAAATTGATACATAACCTTTATACATATTTATGGGGTACATGTAATATTTTGTTACATGTACAGAATGTGTAATGATCAAGTTATGGTGTTTAGGATATGCATCACGTTGAACATTTACGTTTCTATATGTTGAGAACATTTCAAGACCTGTGTTCTAGCTATCTTGAAATACACAATACTCTGACATTAACAGACTGCTATCTTCTCTAATGACATCCCTGGAAACCTCCTGGGGTGGCCAGATCTCTCATGATAGGCAGTGGTTGTCAGTCTTCATATGGAGGGGGGAGATTTGAAACAGCCAAGGGAGCTTTTGTACACCTATGCTTGTTGCGTTTGTACACAATGACTATGCATACAGTGTAAGTATAAAAGCCTTATTTAATCCTATTCTGTCCCAGGCTTGGTTTGTTTTCAAATCATTATAGCATTAATTTAGAAGGTTTTGTCTCATTTTTTTCAAATTATTAAAGAGTAATGTTTTTCCCATAGTATAATTGTGGATTATGTATTCTAGAACATTTCACCAGGGAATACTTGTGGCACAGACATAGTGGGAATGATTTCTTTACATCTTTTAGGCATGAAACAACTGACATGTACTTTCATTTGGTTGGTCTATATTTGTCCAGTCAGCCTCACTAACATATCTGGGGGTTTCTTCTGAGGTGTGTGTCTACAATTTCTACCATAATGATGCTTATCTATGGTTTTAAGAGACCAGGCATCTTTAGTGTAGCTTTTATCAATTTTAATTTCCCTGTTAATTAAGAACTAATTAAAATTATCAGCTGGAGTTATTTAATGTTACTATTTACTGTAATGTTTTATATATTTTAAGAAAATATATGCTATAACATAGTCTTTCAATTTAAAAAAATGCCAAATTATAAAATGTTTATTTAAATAAATTTTAAGTATTATTAATAACGCTTTATCCTACCTTCCCTAGTTGTACATTAGCTCTGTATTCAGCTTTCTTTGTATTTTCCTTCATCTTTATTTGTGTATTAATCATGTTTTTTATTTTCTATTTTTTTATGATGCTTCGACATCTTGGGGATTTTGTGGTCCTAGAAGGGACTGCCCCTCCCAAAGTCAGACAGTTCCCAGAGATAGCAAATATCTTGTCCACAGCATGTCTCTGATTTACAAAGCAAACTCTCCAGAGCTCAGAGCCCCATCCACCTTCTTTATCAAACTCTCACACATGAATCCAATATAGTTGTCCCTCCTTATCAGTAAGACATTGGTTCTAGGACTCCTCTTGGATACCAAAATCCACATATGCTCAAGTCCCTTAAATATGGCATAATATTTGCCATATATTTGGAGAATATTGACAATATTATTTATAATATTTCCCAATATTAGAGAATGTTGACAAGAAAAAAGGTCTGTACATGTTCTGTACAGATACTTGTTTTTGCTCTGAATATTTTTGATTTGGGGTTGGTTGAATCCATGATACACCATGGATACAGAGTGCTGACTGTATTCTCCTTGTCTTAAATCATTACAGAGCCAGTTATGTGACAACTATGGACCACCCCTATATCCTAGAGCCCACAGAAATTGTTCAAACTATCTATTCCCAGGCTTACTCAGTCTACCCACCCTATCTCACTCATTTCTTCCTGTGAAAACACCAATAAAGGCTCAGCCCCATGGTTTCTTTTTGCTCTTGCTGCCTCCTGACCAACCCTGGTACTTCCCCATGTGGCTCCCCACACCCTCAACGTGGTGTGAAGTGCCCCTCCTCTAGGAACTGCGAGCAATGAACTGTCTTTTCAAGGGCAGTCTGTTTTGGGGCTACCTGATCTGTTGACCTCACCAAATCTAAATAGAAACAAAATCCACGGTGAATATTAAAACAATTGGATTTAGGATTAAAAGTTATTTATCCTCTCCTCATCCCAGTTGGACTCACCTATAAAGTTCTTGTCATAATGAGTCTGATTTTCAGCTTGGATTACAAATTACCCTGATTTTTATTATCTCCCTGATATAGTATGGATGTGTGTTCCCATTCAAATCTTATATTGAAATGTAATCCCCGTACTGGAGATGGGGCCTGGTGAGAGGTGATTGGATCATGGGGCTGGATTTTTCATGAATAGTTTAGCACCAACCCTTTTGGTACTTTTCTCATGATAGCAAGTGAGTTTTCATGAAATCTAGTCATTTAAAAGTGCATAGCACCTCCCGCCTCCTTCTCTTGCTTTGGCTTTTGCCATGTGAGTGCAAGCTCCTACTTTGCCTTCTGCCATGCATCATGCTTCCTGCACAGCCTGCAGAACTGCGAGCCAATTAAATCTCTTTTCTTATAAATTACCTAGTCTTAGGTATTTCTTTATAGCAATTCAAAAACAGCCTAATATACTCCCCCAATTGAAGTGAAAGGAAAGATCAGAAACCAGATTTTCACTATGAATATCATGTGCATGGGCATGTACAAACACACGTGCACGTGCATGCACACACACACAGAAATCTCAAACTAATAATCCCAAATTATCCCCTGCCTTCCAGGCTAGAATAAAAGATTTTCTGAAAACTTAGTGCCCTGGCATGTTTCAGCTGAAAAGAAGCCTGGCATAGGAGCAGTTAACTAAACACAGTCCTATTATTTAATTCCCCATCATTACCACACATCATTTTTGTTCAAGTCACTCTTAATTACATTTATGATACTCTCATTTGTAGAGTTCATTGATGATTTGATTATAACAGTTTTATTTAAAAATTGCTCACAAATAATCACTTTCCTCTATAATAATTTATTGATTTGTGAGATGATGGAATTACCTAAATGATGATCAAATTAAAAAATTTATAATAACATAAGGTATTTTTTTGGATGGCTAGATGGAACAATAACCGAGGATTCTATAAGAGGTCAGGCTTTGTTCAAATAAATTGAAGATAGTGCCCGGTGATAATAGACACAATTTCTTAGAGCCGGAAATTCTTTTTTTTTCTTTCAATATTGAAATAAGGAAACAAAAGGACTCCATTTATCAATTTAAGTTTTTCTGTCTGCCCTATTTGTAATTTAGGTTTGAAATGAAAGTTTCTTATTTACTTTTATTTTAGGCAAACCAGTCTGTCTTCTTATTTGTGTTAGCTTTTTTCTTGTATAACATAGATGACTTTTGCTTTTTTACATTTGTTCCATCAATCTGAATTTTCCCATACTCTTTCTCTCTTTAGTCTCCCCCTCTGCTGGTTCTACACACAGTTACTTCAACTATTCATTATATAGAAGAGGTTTTCAGGTTCCTATTTTCTCCCTTCCTCTATCAATCAATTGTCTACAAGCTTTCCAGATAAATGTTATTCCGCACTGATAACTTGAATTATTAAGTGGTTTTAAATGTGGCCTCTTTAAATTTTTTTGTTTTCTCTTCAGAATAACAGGCATCTTGGGTCAGAATTGTATAAAGAAAGGCAGTGAAGTAAATGCAGTATTTGGAAAACCATTATTAAATAGCTAGGATGGAATAATTAATTCAATATTAAGGAAAAAGTGAGATATTAAATTTCAATATACTATAGTTTATGTTGATAAGAGAATTTCTAGGTAGATATTGGTTTAGAGTTTCTAAAATTACTTTTCCCTGTTATCCAAGACAAAGTATTTT